CACTGCAGGTAGAATCTGATTCTTTCCCCAAATGTGAACTGGATCAGATTTTTTATATATATATATATCAACAGGCTGAATCATATTTTTTCAAATGCAACCCAGACCACTTTCATATGTGGAAATAAATCAGATTTGAACCTGATCTGATTGCAGTCTGAACACGCAAGTCATATTTAGGCCTGTCTGACTTCTACAGCTCTGAAATGCAACAGAAGGTACATTTCCATACATATCAACAAAAGAGAACTTTTTTTTAAATTGTAGCAGTTGTAAAGTATTGCTCTTTCCCTCTTTCTCGTAATGTGACACAGCCTAACTTCTGGCTTTGCCTTTACCTCTTCTGCACATCAGGACTCTTCAGGGCCGTTGGGTTCACACATGAAAACTGATTTGTGTCACATTTTATTTGGAATGTGAACCACATCACCTAAAAAGAAGCCTCAGGACCAATGTGAACAAACCAGTTTGAACTGTCAAAATAATAACCATCAATGGTTGAGTGGTCAAATCCAATGACCCACAAGTTGGCGGTATGATTCCATCAGATGAATGCTGTTGTTGTGTCCTCAGGCAAAACACTTGATCCACATTGCCCCCAGTGTATGCGTACAATATAAGTGTGAGTTGTTCCTTGATGTAAACTGCTTCGAGTGCATTTAAGGTGGAAAGGTGGATACACGCTATATAAATATATGACCATTTATTTACCATAATTACTCTCACAACAGCCTGGACCTAATGGAGTTTAATGGTGTGATTTCTGGTTTGAAAGCACACACTGCCAGAAATCTTTTGTGCGGTCTATTGGTCAAAAATCAAGCAAAAACATGCACATGGCTGGACGGTGTTGTGCAGCTCTCTGTGCTGGAGGCAGTTTGCAGGTGGGTCGCAGTGTGTTGAGCAGAATTATAGCAGGAGGGGCATGGTTCCGATGTGATGTATGTAGTTTGTGTGCGTCGACTCAAGATTCTTGGTTGAACTTGAAGATATCTCTGGGGTGGAGTGCATTTTGATAGAGCATCTAGGCATTCTGTGAGAAGCGATGGAGCAGTCAGTCAGTCCTTGAGGAGGTGGTGCCTATGCAGATTTGTAGGTTTGCCATATATATAATTAACTTCACTTCAGTTTGAACTTCAGTTTAAAGTAAAATACTGTTAACTCTGAATCAAGATCAAGTAACAACTGTAATCATATTACAATGATGTAATATGACATAAATAAATGACATTAACATATTTCCATCATAAGTAAACATAATATGAGACATGTGTGAGACATTTACACAATGCAGTTCAGTAATGTGATATTATTGTACACGACTGCCATGTTTAAAGACCAAATTCACATATGATATCTATGATAATATAAAAATAACAACTTCTGTCATGGTTCTGTCCTCTGTCCTTTGTTTACATAGTTACAGACCAAATGCTAGTCTGTCGTTAACAGAAGGGTTCCTCTTCTCATCTTTGTGATGTCAAAGATTTATGATGTTTGTTGATAAGTTTGTTTGAGGAGAGACAGTATATTGTAAACAGAAAGTTTTTCTGGCTTTGATCTCTGGAAGTTCTACCTTTTATTTTGTGGTGTGAGCAGGATGTTTCTCTCCAGTGTTTAGTTTTGTTGGGTCAGTATTAGGATAAAACAGCACCATCATTTTTGGGGAAAGTTCAGGTAGTATCACTACAAAATCATTCTCTGAATATCATAAGTGTCGCGACCCCCAGCCTGAAACCACTGTTATAGGGATCCAGCCTGAGTGTAAGTATGTCTGTCAGAAGTAGGTAATGTTTAACATTTGCAATGTAAATATATTTTTATTTGTGCATAATATTAAACTGTGACCTGGTAAAATACTTATGATATATATTCGAAGAATCAACATGATTTGTGAGTCCTGTGTCAGTATACAGCCATTTTCTGTTTGGCTCTGGGAGGGAGATCTGGCTGCTGAGCTCTACCCAACAGACCCAACCCCAAAGCCTCTACCAGGAAGACCCTCATGAGACAATCCATATCCATAAATCCCTATCCATAGGCCCCTAATAGAAAGCAAGCAGTGAAACAAAATAATATAAAACACTTCCAGAGTATAATCAACAACTCATCATTGCTATTGTTTAATAGTGTTAAAAATTATTTGACAACTATGTTCACATTCATGGTTTAGAGCTATTTATCTATAAAGTTACAAAAGCTGAGATTATTTACATTAAAGACATTACCAAATGCTTTAAACCATAACAGAATTGTTCCTAATTTTAAAGAGGGGGTACTGTCCAAAATAGACTTTTAGGAGCTTTCTACTTGTTATACCCATTATTATACCCGTTACATACTTTATCTCAGCAAAAACAAGCCTCAAGTGGTTTTGTATGTCATTGCAATCTCTCCTGGGTGCTATTCAAAACCTCTTACAGGTAACAATAGTAACAGCCCACATTTCTTCTAAAATGCTCAGTATACAAACTGGTGTAATCCATGCAATTTAATTGTTTATGCTGTGATCATTGTTTAGATAGCACCATGAAGGGAAAGTGACTTGCGGGGTGAGGGACAGACTATGGACAGACTAAATAAGAGATTTTTTTTCTTTCCCCCACAGGACAAGTTGATAAACACACACTAAATACATAAAGGCCTACATCTTTGAAAGACCTACAAAAACAATGTCACCTCTTATACCCCACATAAAAGTATTAATGCTGCTATGATTGTTCTTCAGTTAATGTACTTACATTTATGAAAAACATTTTGGTTCAATAAATTAAATATTAAAACGCCATAATTATTTTTGGCCCAAAAAAAGGCTGTTTGTTTTTTGTTTTGTTTTCATTATGTATGTGTTTTTGCTGTCCTGTGAGTGAGCTTGCGTTTTCAAAAAACTGACTTTTATACTTTTATTTGGCCTGGAGGAGGGCCTCCTCCTGCTTGTTTCTATGGCTATATCTATCTCCACGGAGAATGTTCCAAAATATGCTTATAACAATCTACTGTATCTCCATGGAATCATGCAGCTGATTTTCCACCCCAACGAAGTTACTATCACTTTAATGAAACGGCCCCCGAAAAGACGCCCGCCTCTTGCAGAACGGAAGTGCTGTCTACCCGGAAGTCAGGCTTCATGCGACCCGCACAATCGATTATCGTTGAGTTATCTTGCACTTGTATATATGTGTTTTCGCTGTTAATTGGCGCAGTCGTTGTTATTTTGCCATACGTTTTGTTTAGCTAGTTCTAGAGAACGCTGTTATTTTGGCTCGTGTGAGATTTACTATTAGTTGGCAGTCCTTCTCGACTGGGTGATGTTCTTAATACAGTGTATTGTTGTTCAACGTACCGTTTCATCATCGTCATCGCTGTTACTTTAGTCCACGGGCTTTTGGTGTTGGAGAGTCGTCAAAACCACAACATGTTTCCTCGTAGTGAACAAAGTGGGCTTCTGGGCTTCTATAATGGATCATTTACACGACCCACTGCCTCTTCACGTTTTTATTTCAACCCACAATCACAGCGGTCCCATATTAACAAGTGAGTAAACAAAGTTAGATTGTTTCGTTTTCAGTGAAGTGGTGCGATGTGCAGTAGTTTCACTAACAGTGGTTTAAAAGTAGTTTAAAACTGGTTTAAAAATACTTTGGCATTCTGAAAGGCTTTCCCTGCTTTATTAAATGTTGTCTTTGCGTTTTCAAAGCTATGCTGGACCGGAGAGTCTGCCACTTTATCAATGGAAGCCAACATCAATCCCAGATTACCCCGTAGGTCCCCCAGTCGCCAACAGTCGTAAGTAAGTGAAATTATCCAGTTATTAAGCATGTTTTGTGTCGATTGTTAAATAATGTATGAAGTCTATTGAATAGCTGTACTATTGGGTAAGGAGGCAGACTGTTAATAATTACTTAATAACTTTCAGTTCTCAAGTACAATTGTTAAACCTCACACATAATGACATAACTTAATTTGATCTATTCATAATCTTGAAGTGATGAAATGTATTTGTTATTTTGGTCACAACCCTGTGCAGGGTGTGTGCCCTTATCATCTATCAGCCCTAGTCAGTTGCTAAACTATTAACATTTGTCCTGATTTCTCAGGAGACAATACAGCACTGGCAGCCCAAACCGATATGTGAAACGTCAGCGGGTTGAATCCTTTCATTCAGATGAAATCTCTCCTTCATTTGAATCTCCCCCTCTTCCTCAACATCGTTGCCCCCCTCACCAAGCAATCTCTGGGGCATCTCATGGTACGACTCCCAATGTGTCTTATTACTCCAGCCCACCAGCTCACACGCCTAGCTCTCCTGAAACCTCCGACAGTCTGCAGTCTTATACAAATGACAAGGTAAACAAATTAACACATGGAAATAGCCAAATCATAAACTTTTAAATAATATGATAGATCCATATTATGAACAACCTCACATTATTTGTTGTAGGAATTTAGCCTTTGACTCATTTTATGTTCTTTTCCTTTACGAATATGTATCAGTTAGGGAATGTTAGTGAAGTATTCATAAAGAGAAACAAAATATGTCATATTTTTTATTGTTTAGGTGTAACATTTAGATTTGGGTTTGTTTGTTCGATTGCTGTCATGTTGTTTTAGGTGAGTGCTCAGATGGTGGAACTTTTTGAAGCCTGTCGGCAACAGTATGTGGACTTGTGTCGGAAAGAGACGTGTAGAGCACAACTACAGAAAGATATACGAAGTTTATACCCAGGTGAAAACAAAGTTACAGTTAATTTTTTGGTGTCTTGGATTTGCTTTCCTTTTATTTTTATTTACTTATTCATTTATTGTAATACACATTTATATAACTGTATAACTGACAAAACAAAGATAGTGAAGCTTAAAGAGGGGGTGAGTCATTTAATTAAAAAGTTAAATGTTGACTGACTCTTCTCATAGATGCAAGGCTGTACCTGACTGGCTCTACTATGAGTGGTTTGGGCTGTCGCAGTAGTGATGCTGATCTCTGTCTGGTTGTTAGGATGAAGGTGAGTATTTACAGATTTCCTCAGGCTGTCTAAATGTACAAGACAAAATGTGTACTGTAAGTTTTTTCTAATAACATTTATAGAAAAATTATGATAAGGCCATCCATGTTCTCTCTGCACTCTTGAGATTACTTCGAACTCTAGGTGAGTAGTAACAAAAATAATAATTAATAAACAATATTGTTATTAATATTGCCTATTGCATTTTCTAATGGAAGATCTTATTTATAAACTGTAACTCTCCCAGCTCCCCACTAAAGGGTGCTGTTTTCTTAAATATTGGTCAGTCTGCCCTAGTTAAAATTGAATACTCTTAATTTAAAGCATATGTGGACAAAGTGCTGCTGATTAGAGCGAAAGTGCCAATTCTACGGTTCAAAGAGAAAGGCAGGTAGGATGTCATATCCTTGTACCATTGTATTTTATTAACATGTGACATTTGTAATATGTTTTTCACAATCATTTTTAAGTAACCTGGAGTTTGATCTGAATGTCAACAACACTGTGGGAATTAGAAACACATTTCTACTGAGGAGTTACACCCATGGTCCGTGCCTTATTTGTGTGTATACAATGTCCATTTTGGAGGGCTTAGGGATCAGGCTCACTGATTTCTTTTTTTTCAGCTGACATCAGGATACAACCCCTTTTGCTTGTCATCAAGAAATGGGCACGGCATTGTGAAATCAATGATGCTAGCAAAGGGACCTTGAGCAGCTACACTTTAGCTCTGATGGCACTGAACTACCTTCAAAGTAAGTTGGTGCTGGGCATTTCATTTTCTTGCGGTACTGATGTAAATACAACTGTACTATATTTTTTTGCAGTTCTGAAACCCTGTGTTCTTCCTTCACTGCAGAGGGACCATCCAGTAAGTCTCTTCAGATCTTAGGTTTTTCATGTGTTTCACAGTTATGACTTTGGCCTAATCTTTTCTGTTGTGTTTTATTAGGCATGTTTTGATCCTTTGTTGGAACTTGATATGGTCCCAGATGGTTCTCGACGTGTCCCACACTACAGATCCAAAAACAAATCCTCTTTAGGAGATCTTTTTCTGGGATTCCTTAAGTACTATGCCTTTGACTTCAGGTAGTTTGCTAAGACAATTCTTGAACTATTTAAACCCACCCTCTCACTTTGCTTCGTCTTTTTCACCAGTGTCAAGTTTCTCTGTGAACGACAGCAGCAGCTGGGTTTTGCACCAGCTAATATGACATTCCATGATCTTGAAGTTTTTTAATTACATGCTTCAGTTGTGTATGATTACACATGCACAATTTTATGTTAATTATATCATATTAACATAACACTGATTTAAAATGAAACCAGCATTTATCTTTTTTTATCCCATATTTGTAATTGTGTATTTTTGCTTGTGTACCATTATTCATACATTCAGTGTCATTCAGTTATTTTATGTGAATTTAAAGTATTTATCAACTATTATTATGGACTAATTATGACTAAAATATGTTTTGTAATCTTTTTTTTATGTTTTTTGCTAGATGGGACAGCCAGATAGTCTCAGTTCGAGAGGCCAGAACTTTACCAAAGACTTCTCCAGATTGGAAGAGTAAATTCATTTGTGTTGAAGGTAAAGACAAAAAAGTAGTTTGAAAGCTTGCCATCACAAGACCACTAATTTTATTTTAAATTTGTGCCTGAAAGTTTATACACCATACATTTTGCTTATTTGGAATGTTGTATTTATTTCAGAACCCTTTGAGAGGCATAATGTTGCCAGAGCTGTTTATGAGAAAGCAAAGTTTGACACCATCAAAGCAAAGTTTGCTGAGGTACTGTATGTGTTTAAATTGTATGAGTGTTTTGCTGCCGTTGGTACTGATAAAATCACACATCATACATGTTGAGAAATTATTTTTAGTTAGTTTTCATGTTAAAAATCAAAAAGATAGAGTAAAGCTGTGCAGAGAGCTAAAGTAAACATGAGAAGTTACTGCACCTAATTTGTTTGTTGTATTTTATATATTTACATAGTGAAAACTATGACATACAAATATAACATGATGATAGAAACTTTCTTCTAATAAGACAAATTGTAAAAAGCTACCTTTTGTATTTGCAGTCGTATCAGATTCTAGATGAGAGGAAAGACCTCAACTCGCTTCTCCCACTCGGAGTCATAATTCACAAAGAGCGGACTGGAAGATAACAGAACAGGGAGATCTTTGCAATCAGCCTCTACCTCAAGGCCAGTGGATATAAGTTTGATGGAGTTCTTCAGTATTCTGTGCCTCAAACCTGTTTTTTATGCCCAGGCATACACAATGTTCTGTTTATGTGTCATCAGCAACAAACTAAAGGCCATTGTGATGGAGGCTTTTTTGGTACAGTGTGGGCATAGATCAGTATTTCCAAAGAAATGTCAAATGTTACATTTATAACTGACTACAAGTGTCTACTGTGGACTTTGCATATCTAATGTATCTGCAAATTGTTTAAATCTTTTATTAGTTACTGTTGTTAATTGCAACAATAAGGAATGTTATTATTCTTTGAGAATTTCAGTGATCAACATCACAATTCTGTTATATGTAGCAATTGATTAATAAATTTAAATCATAATGTTTATTACAATAAATGTTCATAAAAAAAAAAAAATAAATATGTTCCTCACCTTACATGGTGGTCGGTCTGTCTCACCCTCATCCAGCTCAGGCCCTCTACCAGAGATCTGGGAGCTGAAGAGTTCTGCGCAATATCTTTGCTGTTCCTAATACCACACTTTTCTGGACTGAGATGTTTGATGTTTTTCCTGGTATCTGCTGTAGCCACTCCTCCAGTTTGGGGGTTACATCTCCAAGTGCCCAGATCACCACGGGCACCATCGATGCCTTCAGCAGCTCCTAGCCACTGGTATTTCTCTAGTTTCTTGTGTTCCTTTTTCCTGATACTACCATCGCTTGGCATTGTGATGTCCACCACTACAGTTTTGTTCTGTTGCTTATCCACCACCACTGGTTGGTTCGCCATCACCATCCTGTCAGTCTGTATCTGGAAGTCCCACTGGATCTTGGCTCAGCTTCTCCACAACCTTTGGAGGTGTTTCCCATCTTGACCCTGGGGTCTCCAGCCCGTACTCTGCACAGATGTTTCTATACACTATGCCACTTGGCTATGTTGCTCCATGTTTGCTTTCCCTGCCAGCATATTGCACCCTGCAGCTATGTGCTGGACTGTATTTGCACAGCCTACACCTTGGGTCTTGTTTGGTGCGGTAGATCAGGGCTTCTGTTGGTCGGGTGCTCAGGGCCTGCTCCTGAGCGGCCAGAGTGCCTCTGTACTGTCCTTCAGACCAGCCCTCTCAAGCCATTGGTAGGATTTCTTGATATCTGCTATTTAGTTATGTTTTGGTGGTACCCCCATGTAGGGGCTTGTCCTGCCATGACAGTCACTCCAGCACCTCTTCCTCTGAACTCCACTGTCTGAAACATTCTCTAAGCACGTCGTCTGTCGGGGCCTTGTCATTGATGTACTTGGATGTTTCATTCTGGACAGTGATTCCTACACTCATTATGCCTTGGCCTCCTTCCGGCTTGCGTACAGTCTCGGTGCTTGATTTGAGATGGAACCCTCCATGCATGGTCAGGAGCTTTCGTGTCTTCACATCCGTGATCTGTATCTTCTCCTTTGGCCAGCTTATGATGCCTGCTGGGTATCTGATTAATGGCAGGGCGTAGCTGTTTCTTGTCTGAGCTTTGTTCTTGCCATTGAGCTGGCTTCATAGGACTTGCCTCACTCTTTGCATGTATTTGGCTGTAGCCGCTTTTCTTGTTGCCACTTCAAGGTTGCCATTTGCTTGTGGGATACCAAGGTACTTGTAACTGTCCTCAATACTACGTTTCTCAAGCCCAAATGACATTCCAATACATGTGCTGTAGATCCTGGTAGTGTGGATAGCTCCCTTATACAGCTTGTTGTCATCCATGTAGAGGAGGTGACTGATGGTGCCCGTTTCTGTGTCGGTTTCCATATCTAGTGCGGCTGATAATTTGGCTAAGGGGGTTCAGACCATGGTTCTATTAAAATAGGTTCAGACCTATGCAAAACAGCAGTCGAGTTAGTGTTTCTCTTGGTATATGCCACATTTGAAGTATATAATATATATAATTCCATTGAGATAGAAAGCTATACTTTCCTATATATACTACACTATACCTTTTTATACATTCTCCATTGCCAAAGATTCAACATTTCCATAGAGACATGCAGGGGGAGGCCTTTCAAAAACATAATCACCAATACATTTCTAGTTTGAAACTAATTAGCTTTGTGTTGTCTCTGCTCTTCTTCACTTGCCTAGATTATTTGCAGCCAAATCGCTTTGAAAAAGTTGCATACTGTGGCTTTAAAGTGTATATGACAGGTGAGACTACTCACTAAAACAACAGTTATATTTAAGATTTTACAAAAAAATATTGCCTAGATTTAAAGGTGGTTATAATTGTAGTGTACTGTCTTGGATATGGGCAGCAATACAGGAAAAAAAAACCTATGAAAAAGGTCAGGGTGATTTACATTTTAAGTTCAGGCTTTTGGTATAGAAATGGAGCCGTTAAAATTATTGTGAGGCATAAAATCTAGTGGGCAAAGCTGGAATCAAATCTGTTGCTCCAAGTTTCATAAATTTGCAAATTATCTATGAAACAACAACAACAACAAAAATGTATTACTTATACGTAGCGTGTGCCTGCCCGAGCAATGCCCTAGAGAAGAGAGAAGCACAAGATCCAAACGTTCAGCAAGTAGTAAGCAGTAAGATAACATCTACAGCATAGTGTAGTGAAGTATCGGTCTTTTTACACACCTAAAAGTTTCTCTTCACCCCAAGAATGTTAATACCTTGTTAGTTACATCTCATTAAAATTTTCTGGACCACATATGCTGTGTAAATGGGGCTTGAAATGCTCTGGTGCATTTTACTCATTTAGTGCAATTAGGTTAGGTTACATTGGAACATATATTCACACTAAGGTTTATGTTCTTACAGACTAACAAACAGCATGAGTCTTGATTGTGTGTTGTGCTTGTGACATTTTATTGCATGCAGTTTAATGACTTGGGCTGCAGTCACTGACGGGGGACAGATGCCACAGAAAATCTGGACCAACTCTCAGCTGTAGGGTCTGGGTACTATTTCAGCCTTGGTCTATATTTAACTCTACTAAGGGGGTTTACATCTTAAAGAGGCCTACTCTTGCATTTTAAGTAACAACACAGTTAAATTCCAAAATACTGGAAATTGTAAATATACCTTCACTTTTAAATAACTCATTGCTATATACTGGACTAAATGGACTTTTACTGGAGGGATACAGCTACAGTGGTTCTTCATTGCTCCGGCTCCACTCCCCCTTTTCATTCCCCACTCAGTCTATTCTTGTCCAGCTGAGTCAGATGGACAGCTCCCAACTTAGATGTAGCAAACAGTCACAGCAGAGCTCCTACATTCATAGTGGTTGAAAACAAAAAGAGGATTCTTAGCTTTTGGGTAACAAGCGCAAAAATTGGACCAAAGTCAAGATGGATGAACCTGAGAGTTTGGACTCGGAGATGACAGAGCTACAGGAGTGTTCTTATGAACCACTGGAATCTCTCAGCCAAGACGATGAAGATGAGGTGGAGGAACTTCAAAACAGGTCTTTATACAATTTCCTGTTCATCTTCTTCTGTGTTCATGCCCTCTAGTTTAGCTGACCTTTTAAATTGAATTGTTAATACCTGATCAACAAGTAACCTCTCATCTTTAGTTCTCAGTCACAGCTCTACCAGTTATTCACGATCTGACTTTATGTAACTCATTTATCAAGTTGCACCATATAGTCCTGTCATGTCATAAATAGCAGAAGACACTGATATCTTGGATGCATCTTTGAGGGCAGGCATCGTTTTTCCAATATTATACCAGTGACGTACAAGGCTGTCACACTGTAGCAATGTGTTCAGGGCCAAGTTGTATTCATAGCTGGAAAAGACTGCCTTGAGAGTATTTAATTAGTTACTTTGCTTATTGTCCAGCTTTGCAGTAGATTTCACTTTGCATGCCTATAAGTTAAAATTTTCTAAGTTTTAACTTGTCTTAGTTGTGCTATGTGGATGTTGATTCATTAGTTTGTACTGTGAAGTGTCAGAAAATAAATCTTGCTGAACAGTTTAGTTATGTCCAACCCACTGCACTGAGCAGCTCTGCTAACAAGTCCTTTCTTGTGCAGTTTGCGAGAGGTTATCCAGGACCATTCAGTGAAGCCCAAACTGCAGTGCCTCATGGTGGATCCTTCATTCTCAATGGTGACTGTACAGAGCGAGGACAGTGGGATTGTGTGGGAGACTGCCTCCAGTCGCTGCTCCACTCCCTGGGCGTCCGAAACCAGTTCTGTGTCAGAAGGGGGCAGCATGGAGGGCTCCGGGGCAGCGGGCAACATCACCATCATCTTTGATGAGGAGAAAGTGGTGCGGCGGCGGACCAGGTCCGGGAGGAGTAGCAGGCTCAGTGATAGGTTCAGCAGGCCGGGCAGTTCTCGATCTGCCTCGGCTCTGGGAGTGGAGAGACTGGAGATGATGGAGGTTTCTCAGCCCAATGTCAAACAGGACAAAACCAAGACTGAACCAGACCTGGAGGAGATAAAGAGCATGGACCAGCAGCTGTTTAGTTTGATTTCTGAAGGTTATGAAATTCTCAACATCAGAGTACCATCTAAACTGCCCACTGTAGATGAGGAGGAGAGCACTGAGCTGCAGGACAACCTATCCTATCTGGACCAGACTCCGAAGATCAAGTCCAGAAACCACCACCAGTGGACTCCTGTTGAGGGAGAAGACTTGCAGGCTGCAGAATCACAAAATGAGGTAGGATTTAGTTTAGTACAGAAATGCACACAGACAGTAAAGTCATTCTCGTAAAGCCACACTTTTGTGTAACACACCGCACCCATGTTGTCAATGAATCACATATATTGTTTGGTGAACTATTGCAGACTTTCTCTGCAATGTATCACCTTGTGTGACAATGTGGTCAAAAACACACAAAAAAAAGCTCTATTTGACACATCATTAATAATAATTTGTGCTGTATACTTTTGATTGATTTAATATCAATTGGATTGATAAGTCAAGGTCTATTTTTCAATCTAAATCAATATCAAGTAATTCTTTGAGAACATTATTAAAATTTTTTGTTCAAAAGAAAAAAGTATCTCCTCAAAACGGTTTGTGATTAAGTGTTTATTTTTTATTACAGGAATCAAAAGACACTTCACCCCATCCACCATCAGACTCAGATCTCAAACCTGCTGCAGATGGCCCTGGTGATATTGATTACTTTGAGAAGTTTACCCTGCTTGACGTTGTGACTCCTGATGAACAAGCAGCAGAAGAACAGGATGAGTGTATAACGCCTGTCCCTCCTCCAGAACCAGAGCAGACCACCAAAGACACAGTCAAAACTATTAGCCCCTCTGCCTCTGAAGAGTCCTTTGTTTTTGTGTCTGATGAGGACATTGTTGGAGAGCACCTGGATGAAGTGTTTTATGGAGAGGGCCCTCCTGCTGATTTAGTGCAGCAAAGTGAAGAGGAAGCTAAAGAGAGGATGCGACGCCAGAGCTCTGTCAAAGAAAGTGGCTCAGTGCTATTTGAAAGTGAGGAGACTGTTCTAACTCCTATCTATATCTCCTCTGGCCCACCAAAGATCATTGACCCCATATTATTGGAAGAACCCACTGCCATGTCGTTTATGTACTCTGACCTTTATGAGGATGCTATGGGGGAGAGAAGGAGAAGCGATGAGGAGTACTCTGAAGCAGAAAGCGTTACATCCGAGAAATCCTACAAGAGGTGTTTGACTGATGATTGTGAGGAAGCGGACAGTGGCTACCTGGAGAAGTTTATCTTGAAAGATGAGACACCAAATGTGGAGGTTTCAGCTGAGGTTGTAGATGACCATAAAGGAGGAAGGATGATGTGGTCACAGAATGAGTTTGAGATGAGTGGGTGCTTGACACGAGTAGTTGAAGCAGAAGATACTGAAGAAACAATGAAGGGAGATGAGATAAAAGAGACTAGGCCATTTGAAAAAAGTTCAGAATCATCAATATCACAAGTCGAACATGAAAACAAAGTGTTAACGTCTTATCAAAAAGAAGAAAGTGTGGAAAAGTCTAAAGTGACTGAATTTGAAACATCCTCAGAATCATCAATATCACAGGTTGAACATGAAAACAATGTGTCAGCTCCTGATCAGAAAGACAAAATTATAGAAAAGTCAAAAGTAATTGAAGGCAAACACACTGAAATTAAAAAGCCTCCGGGAGAATCTCAGAGTGTTGAAGTTGTGTCTGAAGTAGAAATTTCAGAAATTCCAAAGCAAGAATCTGTTGAGCAGAGCACCTCTGAAATACATCTACCAACTGAGAAGATGGAAATTACAGATGAAGCAGCTACCATAGATACACCTGCCCCAGCTACAGACATTCTTCAGACAGCCATTCAAGGAGATGAAACTCAAGTGTCTGAGTCCATAGTGGATGCTGTAGTTGAAGATACAGGGCTGGAGATTCCCAAAGATTCATGTTTAGAAGTTATTGCTGACTGTGAGCCCCCTGTCCAAGCACATGTGGAAGTTATTGAAAAAGGCGAAATAGATATTCAAACTCAAGTATGCATTGATCTGCAAGAGGTTAATTTGGCCACTACATCAACAGTTGATGATTTGGATCAAGAAGGTGAAATTATGACACAAGATGATGCTAAGATTGAACCAGTGGAAAAGCCAATAGAAATTGTCAAACAAGAAGATGTTTCTAGTGAAGAATTAGTTGCTTCAGAGGTCAAGGCTGATGTGGTTAAGGAGATGGTCAATGATAGTGGTGAGCTCATACTGCTTGTTCCCAAAGGACAAGCTGTTGAAATGGATATAGAAATAAGCCCACAGCCAGATATGAGTCCAGCAGATCAGGAAGTTGATCAGGCAGATAACTTGGAACTGATAGCAGAGGTTGTAACACAGCCAGAGAGTGAAATTGTGTCTAAATTTGAAGAAAAAGCTAAAGAAGATTTACATTTGCCAAAGGAGGAGATCAAAGAAGCAGATAAAAATTTAGAGTTGGAAAAACAAGAAATTGTGCCATCAATACCAAGTAATATTTTTCAAAAAGAAATGCCTTTTACAGTCCAAGAGCCAATAATGGAATCACAAAAACCTGAGGTAGAATATAAAACAAAGGATATTGAAGCTAGTGTAGATGAAACACCTTCGTCCATGGATGAGAGTCACAAAGTCAAACAAAAGACAGATTTGAAGGAACCTATCTATACACCTCCACAGGAAATACCAGTAACTGTGCCAGAAACAATTACACAAATACAAACAGACACTCAGCTGCAAGAAAAAGTACACATAGTTATAATGACAGCTATAAAAGATGAAGATGTAACAACTGTTCTTGCTGAGGAATGCCCTGAAGCTGAGCAGATTGCGCAGGTTGTGTCAGAAGAAACAGAGATTGTATCTGATAAAGTTGATTTGCCCCCTGCTTCAGAGGAGGGGGGACAAAATGTAGCTTTGGAAGAACAGGAGATGACTTCTGAAACAGTACCAACAGTTGAAGAAGAAAAAGAGATCATATCTGATAAAGTTGATTTGCCCCCTGCTTCAGACGAGGGGAGACAAAATGTAGCTTTGGAAGAACAGGAGATGACTTCTGAAACAGTACCAGCAATTGAAGAAGAACCAGAAAATGCATTTGATAAAGTTGATTTGCCCACTGCTTTAGAGGAGGGGAGACAAAATGTAGCCTTGGAAGAACAGAAGATGACTTCTGAAACAGTACCAACTATTGAAGAAGAAAAAGAGATCATATCTGATAAAGTTGATTTGCCCCCTGCTTCAGTGGAGGGGAGACAAAATGTAGCTCCGGAAGAACAGGAGATAACTTCTGAAACAGTACCTACACATGAAGAAGAAAAAGAGATCATATCTGATAAAGTTGATTTGCCCCCTGCTTTAGAGGAGGGGGAACAGAATATAGCTTTGGAAGAACAGGAGATGACTTCTGAAACAGTACCAACAATTGAAAAAGAACCAGAAAATGCATTTGATAAAGTTGATTTGCCCACTGCTTTAGAGGAGGGGAGACAAAATGTAGCCTTGGAAGAACAGAAGATGACTTCTGAAACAGTACCAACTATTGAAGAAGAAAAAGAGATCATATCTGATAAAGTTGATTTGCCCCCTGCTTCAGTGGAGGGGAGACAAAATGTAGCTCCGGAAGAACAGGAGATAACTTCTGAAACAGTACCTACACATGAAGAAGAAAAAGAGATCATATCTGATAAAGTTGATTTGCCCCCTGCTTCAGACGAGGGGAGACAAAATGTAGCTTTGGAAGAACAGGAGATGACTTCTGAAACAGTACCAACTATTGAAGAAGAAAAAGAGATCATATCTGATAAAGTTGATTTGCCCCCTGCTTCAGACGAGGGGAGACAAAATGTAGCTTTGGAAGAACAGGACATAGCTTCTGTAATCACTGAGACAACAAGGCAGGATTGGTCTGTTTCACTCAGTGAGGCAGAGACAGAGGAACTTGACTATGAGATAGTAAATAAACAAGAAGGTGAAGAATCACACAGCATTGAATCAGGGGCACCAAAACAGGAGTTAGATCAATATAAAGAAATTGTAAGCGAGGAACTGGAGGAAGAGCATACTGAATGCAAAGATAACAGTGTTGCTGATGAGGAGCAGACACTAATGGGTGACGTAGAGGAGGAGACAGGTGTACACTCCACTCTGAAAAGGTTTACCCCACTGCAAGATCTGTCTGGATTACATGCAGCAGATGTGAATCTAGAAACAGCTAATATAGAGGAAAATGCATTGGATCTGGACCATCAAATGGATATAAGTGAAGATGTACAAGATGTCTGCATGCAAGACGTGACAGAAGATGCTGAGAAAAAAGTGAGTCCTGATGTCTCTATGGAGTATGAAATTATAACTGAACAAGACACAACAGAGATGGCACAAGCTGAAATGGAAGATGAGAGGGTAGAGTTGGTAAAAGAAAATGAATACATGGAGGACGTTCTGGAGGACACAGCAGACACAGAGGAGCTTATGGAGGTGGACTATGAGACCATTGATGTAGAGGAGGAGCATCAGGCCCGGCTGGCGGCTGAGCTGGAGGGGCTTGACTGGTACTGCCTCAGCTGTGGGTGTCTGCTGCCGGAGCAGGAGAGTGGACCACACCAGAGCCATGATGTTACTGCAGTGGACAAAGCCTATGAAGAGATCATGGTAAAGCATAGTAACTCAGCACACAAAACATACACAAAACACAAAAACAATAACATTTTGTCAAATACATTCATATTTGTTATTATTGGGATATTTCAAATTCTAGAATATGATGGTGCCACATTATTAGATGAGGACACCTATTTTTTCTATATTAATCACACTGTATTCATAAAAATAAAAATCCAAACAGTATCCATAAATAATGCAATAATAAAAAATAAAAAAAATCATCATTCTAGGCCAATGTTGATCTGCAATTTTCAACCCATTGTCATCTTCATACCAATAAACCACTAAATCACACTAATTCTGCAAGGAGACTTAGTACTGTGGCGATCAACGTAACAACTGTTTGCATCTGCAATATCCAGACTCAAAAACCTGCAATATCAATGATAGATTTTATTTTAGGACATAGCCCTAGACCAATTATAACAAATATGAATTTACATTTCCCACTGTATTTGAGAATATAAATTATTATTTAAGGTATGTATGAATATTACCCATATCATCTGGGCACTCCCAAAAATACGAGACGTATAACACAGCTCATTACATTGTCACACATGGTCAACACGGTGTGCAATGATGGTGTGATGTGCTGCTGGGATCTGAGATTAGTATGGCATCTGCTTACACTTTGGGTCAGTGCAGGGTCAGCCACTGGGATGTGACACAAGTTAGACTGTTTAACTATTACCTCTTATATTGTATATCAGTGCTGTTTAGTTACAATAATTCAGAGACACAGAAACAAATCCTTCATATGCAGAAGTCTCTGCCTACTCAAAATCATGCACCTGTTTTTGATATAGGGGGTTGTCAGCCATTCCTCTGACAGAGCATGAGAGGCTGTGACCTACTTAAATCTGAGCTGTTTACAGGTGGTGACACAGGATCCAATTGCACTGCCTGTACTCTTCTGCCAACATCTGATGTTTAGACATGCCACAAACCCTGATTTTATATCTCAGATAAAATGCATCTCAAATTAAGTTAAAAATCATCGAAATGGAGTTGTATGAAGTTAAAATAAATTGTCTTTACCTCAGGAAAAGTTGAGTGAGTGGATTTCAGAGCTGCAGGGGAGATCTGAAAACATTGAGGACCTGGTGTCTGAGCTGGAGCTGGCATATAATTCAGTGGAGGTATGTTGTAAAGACACCATACTATGTATACCAGAGCCAAGTATGTTTTACCTATTGTATGTTATAGTTCTGTACTCCTTAGTTTCTATTGTACTTTACAACCAGGAACAGTTTCATAAGAGTGAGACAGAAATGCAGGCTCAGAATGAGGAGATGATGGCCCTGGTCATGGATCAGTACAACAGTATGTCTGTGAGTATGGAGGAAGAGAAGAAGGCCAAGCTGGAGCAGCTCTACGACCAAATAGTGTCATTCCAGGAGAGCATTGACTCTGCTAAAGGCACCCTCGAGACTACAGCCCGAGAGGCGGAGACAGACGCAAGGGTTAGAGCCACTTTCTAGGTTTTGATAAATCTCTGATTTTTAGTCAAGATAATCAACTAATGAAATGAAAACTCATTGCATTTTATACAGTCACCTGAAGACATTCATGCAAGGTATGTACCTTTAGTGAATGAACTGTGACTGATGTGGCTGTTTTTCTAACACGCATTTCAAATTGGTAAATAGTGTGTTATGTATTATGAGCCATATTATATTATACAGTGTATTGGTTTTGCTTGAACTGTTTCATTGACTTTCACACCAAAAGTTTTTTGTGTTTTTGTGGACATCACACATAAGCTAAATCTTGTTATACATTTAGGCTCATAGTAGCTCTGGACTCTGCCATGTCTCTTGAGCTTGGACCCAAAGGACTCTTAGTATTTGAGGACTATGCAAAGGGCAACACTTCTAGCTCCCAGTTAGCTCAGCGAAAGGGAATTGCAGGTAAAAAAAAAAAAAAAAATAAAAAAAAAAAAATATATATATATATATATATATATATATATATATATATATATATCAGTATAATGTTAATACTAATATAATACATTTTACTTATTATATACTTAATTCTCCAGTGCCTCAAAGACCGACTCTTCAGGTCCAGGAGCCAGGCTCAGCCACCAGCTCCAGTGTCACGGTCTACTGGAAGGTCAACTCTGAAGATGTCATAGACTGCTTTCAGGTGTACTGCATGGAGGATCCACAAGGAGGTAGTATTTAACAACACTGTTGTGTATACAATATATTTTCATGTGTCAATCCGTACTTTTACTACTATTTTGCAGTACTATTTTTCCTCCTGCTTTTAACAGCTATATCAGAGGAATACCGTGTGACAGTAAAGGAAAGTTATTGTGTTTTGGAGGAACTGGAGCCTGACAAATCATACAAGGTGTGGGTGATGGCTGTCAACTACACAGGTTGCTCTCTACCCAGTGCACGACTCATCTTTAAAACAGGTTAGAAATCATAGAATAGCATAAGGACCATTATTACTATTCAAAGTCATTGACATCTCTCTCTGTGTACAGCTCCATCAGTACCTGTGATTGACACTGACAGGTGCACTGTCACCTGGGACACAGCCTTTCTGAGGTGGAGCTCAATGCAGAAGACTCCTGAACTATCCTACACACTGGAGTACTGTCGACAGTATGAACTGGAGGGAGAAGGCTTGAGGTGCACTAAACTAAATACACTACTATTAGGAACTATAGGTCTATGTTCCCTCATCATCATTCATAACAGTTATTTTTTGGTGTGTGTTTAGAACCATCTCTGGTATTAAAAACTTTGAACATAAAGTCCTTCTTCAACCGAATGAGAATTATCTGGTCTACATAAAAGCTGTGAGTGAGGCTGGTTCTAGTGAGCAGAGTGAAGCTGCGCTCATTTCTACTAAAGGTAAGCACTTCCTTCAGCATATCTGTTTATCATACACACAGTATTATTGTGCCTTCTTAATTTTAATTTTCATGTGAAGGAACAAAGTTTCACCTGCAAAAGGCAACTGCTCATCCTGCTCTGGAGCTGTCTATGGACCAAACTACCCTGCACTACTCTCAGGACACATACGACAACATGCCAGATAAGGCGTACGTCAATATTAAGTAATACTTCGTCAACAGGTATGAACATGTAATTACAGCTTTTGATTATTTCTTTTACAGGTGTCCATCTATCCTGGGCGAGCAGCTCCCAGTGAGAGGACGCTATTACTGGGAGAATGATGTTTCAAGATGCACTGACTACAGGTTGGGGGTGGCTTACAGCTCTGCCAATATAAACAGTCCTCTGGGAGAAAGTCAGTTGTCCTGGTGCTTGCAGTGCACCCCCACACCATCGGGGTATGCAAAAAAGTTTAAATTAAATATCACTGTCTGTGCTACCATTATTATTTATGTAAATGTATTTTTTCTTCACAGTTGCAGTTATCACTTGGTGCACAATGACATCCATTCAAGTTTGTTTGTGATTGATTTACCTGAACGAGTGGGTATCTTCTTGGACTACCAGTTTGGCTGTTTGTCCTTCTACAATGCTCAGAGCGGTCAGCTGTTGGGGTCCTTCTCTGAGCACTTCACCCAGCCGTGTCACCCCGCTGTGGGCATGGATGCTCCAGGGAGTGTGGAGGTATGCATGGTGCAGGAGGTGCCAGAGTTCGCTAAAGACAGCTAGCTTTGAAAAACGTATGTGTGCAGATTATATTAAATTAGCAGGTGCATTTTCATAAGCAGAAATATATTTTGACAGTATCATGATTTTACGAGATACACCTTTATGTGAATATTTGAACCAATAAGCACACTTTAAATAATGTGGACTTATTATTATCATCATTATTATTATTATTATTATTGTGTTTTAATTTGATTTTTAATTTGATTGTACATTTTCAAATTTAAGGTTAATCTGAATATTTTTTCATCTTTGGAAAAGCACTTTTGAAATGGTATTTCATGTGAATTTGTGTAAATAGATATCTTCAGATGTATATTTTGTATATAAGCCAAATAGTATATGAGCTTAATGCTCTGCTTGATTGAATTAATAAATTATACTATTTTAGTGTTGTTTGCACTGATCAGTTTTTAAAATTAAATTGACTATAAACAGTGCTCGGTTTATTGTAGAGGTTCTATTAACCACTAAAAAAGCTATAAATCAGCCTAACCAATTACACATTTCTATACCTATCATTGTAATTTAAGACCAATAAAAAATTTTTTTTTAAAAATAACATAATTTAAATACATTTTAAACAAAATAACAAACATAAAATTTGTTAGGGTTATGATCTAATTTATTGCAATTATATGAAGTTGATGTTACCAACTCACAGTGCATAGAAAACAGCAGTGACAAATAATGAAATAAAATTATAATTAAAACAGACACAGGAAAAGACAACAGCAGTCATGAAGGCACATACAACAATAATACAAACAGAGGGAATGTGTCATGTTAAAAGTAGTATATGAGTCAGTTAAAAAACTAGAACAATGACACTTGAACACTTGACACATTCAATAAAGGCAGATATATAATGCATTAGGGGATTCTTCCATAATCTTTATATAAAATTCTTATAACTTATATAGATATATCTAACTATATGCTTCTTCTATTGCTTACTTATTTTACAAAGCTTGTGAGAGCCAAACTAAATATTTTTCAGTCATACACATGCCCATACATATTTTATGCATATAATAAAGTCAGAATGTGCTCACCTCTGGTAATAAATAAACTATTTACAGACTCTTTAATCTTTATAGTTGATAGCAGTACAGTTAAAAACAACCGGTGAAACTGTCTCTTTATAATATAGAACAAAAATATGTTAAAAATTAAAATGGCAATTTTAATTTCCCGTATTTTCCCTGATGGAGTTTCCATTTCCTTTGGCTTTCCCTTAAACTTTCAGGGTCTCTCTGTCTAGCACCACTCAAGTGTTCCATGCTTGACCACATACGTGCATCCAAACTAGTTAAAAACCTCTTATGCATTTTCTCTCCTTCACCATCTTCAAAAACTATCATCATTATTCCTGCATTCTTTTCTATACTTTATATTTTTACCCTCTTTTTTCCATAAGGCCCTGGGTTATGCAGGGTTTGAGTTCTTCTCATTTGCCAAAGTGGGTTTAGGCTCTGGTCGGTGCGGTTTGTGCTGAGGACTGCTACTGCGAAGGTTATCATCCATCTGGAAATAGAAATAGTAAAATTAGATTAGACCTTATTTTATAAACAATGAAAATATAATTCTTATTTTCAGAACTTTATATCTTCATCCTACAAGATGGATGGTAAAGAAATTGTTATTTTTTATATAGAGGCTGCATATTATGTGTCTATTAGAAGTCATCACCGTGTTATTTGAATGAAATTAAAACTTTTTAAGGGTACATTCATGTGTCTTGGTTTTGTCATTTGTAGTCCTGGTTTAGTCTTGCTCTAGCCCAGGTTTAGTTTTGAGTTTAGTCCCAGTTTAGCCCCAATTTTAAAGTGATGTGTGCAGGTGTGAATGCACCCTAAAGCTTTATAGCAAATGTTACCATACAATTATATAAGTCTGTTTAAAATATCCCATTACTCGTACATACACAAACACATAAGGCATGTGTTGTGTCTCATGTTGACATGAGGAGTCAGAGAAAGTTTTAAATAAATAGAGTAAAAATAGACACCTTTTCTATCAAGTTGGATTCTTTGTTTACAAGTTGGGTCAGTTTCTGAAGATTGGCATCTTTTGTTTCTTGAACTGACACAGGAGAACCTGGAGGGAAGATGTAGTAATTTGAAATAAAATAAAGTTTCAGAGAGACAAAAGCAGCATAAAACTTATCGTACCGGATTGACTGGAGCTGAAATAGACAGCAAGGATGTTCTCACAAAACTGAGTCAGGTTTTCCAGATGACTGAGGTGACTCTGCAGCGGACTGCTGGGGAGGCCGGCTTTGTACAGCGGGGCCAGGAAACCAAACACAAAGGCGTCTAGACTGGTCGGTCTATAGAGAAAATATTATGTCTTATTACTAGAGCCATGGTCACCTTTAAGCCACCTTTCTTCTTTTGTAATGAACTATGAAATGTTAACACTTACAAGCTACCAAAGAAGTAGTTTGCGGTTCCCAGTCGGTATGAGAGGAGGTTAAGGCACTCTTTAGCGTCACTGTAAAGCTAATACAAAAGATAACAGATAAATAATTACATAACAAAACAATAACAATATTTAGTATTTTCAGTTAAAATGTTTTTTTTGTTTTTTGTTTTTGTTTTTTACCTTGGCTTCTATTTCATTAATTCTATTAAGTGGGGACTCCCCTTTGGTCAGCAGGATCCTGGAGATGGCGAGGTTCGCATGGCGACAAGGGACTACAAAGTTCAGTGGAAATGGAGAATGTGAAGCAAACCAGGGCCTTGTCACATTTGCATAATTTTCAGCATCCACCCAGAATGTATGCAACTGGAATGAATAAGCAATTATTTATAATGATTAAGATACATTTTAAATATTGGCAATTTCAGTTTAAACTGTGAATTTTTACCAAAGCTGGTCGGAGCTTCTCTTCCAGTAAAGCTATGTAAGCCAGAGTGTCTGCACCCTGACGTGCTGTTAAGTCATAGTCTGCATTGAATCGCTATAAAACATCCGGATGAATATATCATACTGTAGTACAAGACTATTCAAACTAATGTGGGTAAAGTTACAGCCTCACCTGCTTCCGGAGAAAGTTAAGAATCTGTGTTGGGTTTGTAACAGACGACTCACCACACATCAACTCTGGGACTGTTGCTGGAAGTACAAATACACTTTATAGTAAGTTCTGGTTTGCAACGTAGGCTATAGTACTTTTATTCTGCCAGATAAAAGCCTTGTATTAAGTTTCAAATAAGTAGGCCTACAGTAAAATGTTATATAAAAAGTCAGCCACACCTGTGAGTGTTTTCCATGTCCAGTCGATTGGAGAAGCTGTAACTTGAGCTCCAGAAAATTTGGAATAAGCCTAAAGGAAAGACAACACATGTGGTCTACACATGGTTTAACCCTGATGTTATATGGCTGAATTTAAATGTGCTCCAGCATTATAAACAGAAACTATCAAAGCAATCAATTAGGGCGTCACCATGCGGTGGGTCTTACTACTACAACTACAAACGGTACTATAACATGATAGTAATCACCGAAGCTAAGTGTAATTCTGTATGGCATCTTTACACACAGACGCTCCCACACTACGCATCAACAACAGGAAGGGACTCTCCTGACCAAGATCACACAGGGGCTTGCTCACCAGGCAAAGGGGAAGACAATACAAAATGAATGCTATTTTTTAAAACAGCTGACCTTGAAGGACGAATAATTGGTTGCAGCGAAACATTAACATGCCGCTGCTCGATGTATTCAGGTGAAAGTGAAAAGGAAAGACAATGCGATTGTGTGAGTGACATTGCTGCAGAAAATCTAGCACGGGTATAAAAACGATCACGGTTGTGTCATGGGAATTAGCCTAAAAGCTAAACAAAACAGAAGATACAGGAGAAATACTACGCTTCAATTATAAATCTGCACGATGCGATCAGATGCATTATTAAAGAGACTTACCAGCACTATGAGAGACTCTGTGTGGACAGACGGAAGACCCCAGCCGCCTCCCCAACACCGCAGCTCCATGGACAGCGCCATGTTTGGTTCAGAGAAGGGGCTGTGGAGGTTGACGTCATGACGTACCTGAAATAACCAGCGCGGAGGATTGTTCATGTCATTGTGGTGTGAAGCATCATGAGGATCTGCATGAAGGTTTCAAGCTACACCATAGCCCAGTGAGATGGGGCAGCTGGTAAAACAGTATCTGATATGACATAGCCGCATTCATTCCATAATCTGTTCTGAATCTGACAACCCATAAAAAAAGTTTGAGAGAAAGTGATGGAAAACCACTACCTCCCATTTACTGAATCGTATAACTAAACTTTGAAAACTCTCACTTATCACATATTGAATTGGCTATCTGTAGGTCTTTTTGAGAAGGACCTTCACACAGTGTAGCCTTTGCCTCCTGATGCTTTTGTGAAATCTCACAAATGTTCTGTCTCTAATGTGTGACAGTTGACTGTACTTACTACTACATGATAGTCATACACATCTTTTTATTGTTAAATTAGGTTTTATTTCCACTGTTTAAATGTCATGGTGGCACAGTATTTACTGTAAATTAAGCCACAGTAGTGGACACCAGAAGACCCTCCCATTTGCTTTAAAAGCTGGGAGCACTCTGTCATCGTACTTCTTCTGGGGTTTTGCACAAGCATTTGGATTGTCTTGACTTTGTCCTTCAGTGGAACTTGTTGCAGTGGAAACTTGGTCCTGACTCTGGCTGCTGTGAGGATGTGTGCCTGGACCAGAGGGGCTGCTCTGGGTGTGCTGCTACTGCAGCTGGTACTCACGGTCACTGCTCAAGGCATTGGTGAGTGCTGCTGATCACTCTGTACTGCAGTCTGTTTTGTTCTTTATTGAGAGAATGTATGTAGTCTCATAAGTGGGCCATTAATGTGTTTTCACTCAGTATGTACAAAAGTTTCTGTTACATAAACTTAGGATGACCACCTTAGACTGTAGATAAAGAGGGACAGATTTTTTATTTTATTTTTTTCCAAAAATAAATATTTATTAAACTGTTTTCTACATAAATAATT